CAGGGGTGGCCAAACTCCGACCCTCCAGCTGTGGGTGGAACTACAAATCCCATGAGAAATTGCAAGATTCTCACAGCCACGACTGCCGGAGAGAGATGCATCATGGGATTTGTAGTTTCACCACAGCTGGAGGGCCGGAGTTTGGCCACCCCTGCATTAAGCATTGCGAGACTCTGATAGCCACCAGGCATGGCTTCCAGAGGCAGATGATGGGATGCATGATCAAATATGTCATTTAATCACAGCTGGAGGCCCAGGGTTTGGCTTACCCCTGGTATAGTATGTCACTTGAGCGATAGCAGCGGCTGACATCACATCCAAGATGGTGACACCCAGGAAGTCTCGGGGCTTTCAATGTCTACACAAGGGAGGTTTTACAGGTAATGAACACGCATGACCAGGGGTGTATCTACCGCAAGGCAAACTAGGCATTTGCCTTGGGCGGCACTTTCCAGGGGGGGGCAGCGTTTTCTGCAAAGAGCCAGACTTCCTTTGGGCCTACTGGGCACTTGCGCGGTGGGGCACAGAATCAGGCAGCGGGTGGCTTGGGGCTGGCCATAGCATGTGATTTGATGGTAGGCCTCCCAGAAGCAGGCTGGGGATTGCAATGCATCCTGTTGGTACTGATGGCATTTCGGGCTGCAGGTAAGAGGAACAGGACAGGGAAAGGGACCCTGCACTGCCCACCATAGACCTCACACAGCCCACCGGAAACCATGCACAGCTCTCCTCGCCCGTACGATCCCGTGTGTGCTGTATCCAGTGACTGACAGGTTGCCCAAAATGTCCTAAACAGGAAGGGGCGGGGCAAATTTTGATTGAGGGGGGGTGCCCGAGTTAAGTCTTGCCTAGGGCAGAACAAAACCAAAATACACCACTGCACATGACACATGTGAAATGCTCATATAATCTCATGGGAAGGTTGTTGTTGGAATGTGCGTTCTGGTGACAGGGTCTCTTTAAATCAGTTTCAGCTCCTCTGCATTCACGGGGTTAAATGTTCTCCTGATAATGACAAGGAATCCAGAGATTTGGTGTTGAAATCCGGTTGGGACGGTTTTGTAACTTGCATCCAGCTGAGTAATGCGTTTTTTTCCCCCCGGAGGCACAAGTACTAATTACATTAATCGCGACGATTAAATGCCGGCTGATGTCGGGGAAGTTTGTGAAGCCAAATAAAAGAGATTTCGGAAAAGCGGATCCGGGCCAAGAAAAAAGATCAAAACTTGTTAGAGGTCGAGCGGTTTGATGTGTCGCCCGCGAACAGCCGTCCTACGTCAGCTGCACCCCTACCGGCCGCCACTTATCTGCTTCATTATCCCGCTTTTAGGAGAAGTGGTTGTGAAATGGCAGAGGAGGGGACGGCAATGTTAAATAAACTAAGGATGGGGGGGGGGGGGGGTGGATGGGATTTCATGGAAATTACACAAACCACTCGAACGTCTCCTGATTGTTCTGTCAAATGTGGAAATTTTACTTCTCTCGCTGTCGCAGTGTCACAATTATAAATCAATTTCTCCGATCAGAGACGACATAAGGAGCATTTCATAACAATTCCCAAAGTGGTAAATCCAGATCTCGATAATTCACCTCCCTCTCAGCAAACAATATGTGTATTAATAGTTTGTGTCTCTGCCCCTCCCACAATGGTGAGATTCCCCCCAGTAGTTGGTGTCTCTGCCCCTCCCACAATGGTGGGATCTCCCCCAGTAGTTTGTGTCTCTGCCCCTCCCACAATGGTGAGATTTCCTCCAGTAGTTTGTGTCTCTGCCCCTCCCACAATGGTGAGATTTCCTCCAGTAGTTTGTGTCTCTGCCCCTCCCACAATGGTGAGATTTCCTCCAGTAGTTTGTGTCTCTGCCCCTCCCACAATGGTGAGATTCCCCCCCCAGTAGTTTGTGCTTCTGCCCCTCCCACAATGGTGAGATTTCCCCTCCTAGATAGATTGCACAATTATTTATATATTTTGTGTCATGGAGAATCCTTCAGGGGAAGGTGACAACGTTGTTTGGCTTTTGTAACATCGGCATCAGAACTGTGAGTCGCGGCGGGGAAACCTCACAAAGGGGTTTTAGCAGTCACACAGAATGGAGATTTTGGTTTTAGCTGAATATTTCTTTAAACCATTATTTAGGATTGTATGACATGACTGCGGATTGACCCGTGTTTCTGTGCTCTTTCCTCAGTGACGTGTATCCATGGTAACGGAGGATGCCAACACACGTGTAATGACACCGACTCCGGGCCCGTGTGCAGCTGTCACCCCAAGTACACGCTGCTGGCGGACGGGAAGTCCTGTGCTGGTCAGTGTAATTATGACTGTCGCCGTGATGAGAAGCTCTTCGGATGTTGGTGGGAAGTCCTGGGTTGCGGCGGCGCCTCCAGCGTATGGTTTTTGTGGCGCTGATGCTGGGAGTATAAGTGTGGGAGCGACGTCCCCGATCCTGAATCCCGTGTTATGATAAAATCAGACGTAACATAATGAGAAATGTCAGGAAATGTTACAATGTTACATAGAGACCGTTCATGGTGTAAAAGGTACGCAGGCTGCGGCCCCTTTAAGATCATTGAAGCCTGGCGTTTGTTAGAGTGCGATGGCGTTTCAGAGCGCCGCGGTCAGAATTCGGTAACATCGTCACTCAGATAACTGGTCGGCGAGTGCAAAATTCAGTTTTATCATTCAGCGGGTGTACAAAAAAAAAAATCCGACATTTATAACGAATAATAAAAATGTCCCTCGCTTGTGGGTGTGGCCAAAAGTGCGCTTTGTATGGCATGCAGCGTGACACCTCCCCCCCATGTGGTTTGCTATGGCTTAGACAGACCAGGGAGCAAAATAAGCCCCATTCTTGGTGCCAGTCCCGGCAAGGATAACCCCCATTATGTGTCAGTGCCGGCAATGATAACCCCCAACATGTGTCAGGGCCAGCAATGATAACTCCCAACATGTGTCAGGACCAGCAATGATAACCCCCAGCATGTGTCAGGGCCAGCAATGATAACCCCCAGCATTGGTGTCATGGCCAGGAATAACCCCCAGCATTGGTGTCAGGGCCAGGAATAACCCCCAGCATTGGTGTCAGGGCCAGGAATAACCCCCAGCATTGGTGTCAGGTCCAGCAATAACCCCCAGCATTGGTGTCAGGGCCAGGAATAACCCCCAGCATTCTTCTTTGCTCGGACCAAACATTTTGCTCCTCATTCACTTGTAATGAACTATTTTTAGCTTTTCCAGATTGACCCACTTTGGTCTGTTTTACCCACCAGAGAAAGAGGAGTTGGAGGGCAATTCCACGTCCGTGGCTGAGATGGACAAGCGGGTGAAGCGCAGACTAGTGATGGGTAAGAGTCGCGGTGGGTGGGCCTCCAGGGATACCGCCTGTGGGGGGA